TTTAAAGAAACTAATTTGTAGTATTTCTATTGTAGCAGTACTAAGTAATTAAGACAGTGGAGACAACAAAGCAGAAATGACCCAGATTTGTGGCAGTGAGTCCCTTCCCACCTCTTACATGGCATACAGCCTTAGACATTATTACTTAGCATGCACTTCCCCCTCCTCACTGCACGCAAGAGCCCATCCAGTACTACTGCCCATGAGGCGAACAGTAACACACTCATATTTAGGGAAGTAGATAAACACAGATGGCTGTCTCAAGTATTACAAGAAACTAAGTTACATCATTAGTTTGGGTGGGTCCCTTCCGGCTCTGACTGTCTCTACTGAGAGAGCTTGTCCCAAGTTAGGCATTGTTGTTTCTGCTGCAGAAGGCAAGGAGGAAGAAATCTCTTCCGCCCTTCCTTCCTCTCCCTCCTCTGTCTCCCCTTCCCGTTTCGCAGACACCCTGGCCCTCACTAAGCCCTGTAAGCTGGTTCAGACGACAAAGAACATTCATAAGGGAGGGACTTATTCCTGAAACGCCAGAGAAAGGTCAACCTTGGCTTCAAGTCTCATTATTTTTGAACCACCAAAGAGCCAACAAAGTGGGGGGATATTTTTTGAATCATAGAAATACAGGTGTCAATCAATTCAGTGGGATCCACATTCAATTTCAAATGAGCAGAAGCCCTTCACACAAATCTATAGCTAGGTCTCCTCAAGCGGAAATCCTCTTAAGCCCTATTTCTGCACCTCCACCTCCTCACCTCCACCTCCTGTTCACACACACATCTGTTAGTTTCTACTCATAACTGGAAATGTATTCATTTAACTTGGACATATAAACCCCCTGTCATGTACACACACACACACACACACACACACACTATTCTACTCAGACTCAGAGAAAAACAGTGCAAAGGAGCAGTATCAATGTAGAGAACTTGCTCTCATGGCGTTTTCCTCTCTTCTCCCCTACAGCTGATTCCCTCCAGGCTCTTCGTTCTCCTCCATGTATTTTTCTTTGTCACTTTTGTCTTATCTCGTCTGCCCTCCACGTCCAATCCTTGACTCTTTCATCTTTCTTTTTGTCTAATCGAGAACAATCTGCTCAGCATTTTCCTTTTTTTTAAAACAGGTTTATTGGAATATAATTCACAAACTATATAATTCAATAGCCCAACCACACTAAGAGTTGTACAGTCATCACCACAATCAATTTTAGAATACTTTCTTGGAATCGTTGTTATTAACTTCTCATTCTTGGAATCATTGTTAACGTCTCATTTTCCCCAACCTCCCCAGCCATATCGCCAAGGAACTATTAATCCAGTTTTTAATATTTTCTGCTTCCTTTGCTATTAAAGTTTTTCTGTTTTACTTCGCTATTTTTAGTTTTGTTGGGGTTTTTTTTTTTTTAAAATACTGTTTTGTATATGAAAACCAGGATAAATTAATCTATACAAATAGTAACTGCAATCATGAGTCTTTCACATGTCTTCATCCTGCTAATTTTGTTCAGCATTGCCTTCCATCCATTAAAGTACTACCTATCTCTTGAGGGGTGTTGGATGTCCTACCCTCAGGACGCTTATGTTAAGAACAAAATGTTAGTATATGAGCAAAAGTAAGTAAAAGCGTGGCCATTCCGACAAGAGAAATAACAAGAGCGCTGGACCAAGACTAAGATGAGCAGAGGAGGGAAATTAAGATAAGGTTGTCAGGAAAGGCCTCTTTCAGGCTGAGGTGAAGAATGAGGAGGGAAAATGAACTGTGAAAACTGCGCCAGGAAGAGCGTGCAAGGCGAGGAAGACATCCTACAACCAAAAGGAACTTGGCTGATGTAAACAAAAGTAATTGGCCTTATAGACAGGAGGGAAAGAGTTATTTAAGATACATTTGACTAAATAAATAGGAAAACACTGCAAGGCGTTGCGGTCTATGATGAGAATTTTTGTTTAAATTCTAAGTAACATGAGGAAACTTCTAAGGGCTTTCAGCAGGAAGTGTGACAGGATTTCCCTTAGGTTTAAGAGACTCACTCTTGACAATGCAGAAAGTAAATGGGCAAGAATTGAAGAGAGGGCGCCTCTCAGGAAGCGCCTGCAGCAGTTTCAGTCAGAGATGCAGGCAGGTGTCCTGGGCTGGTGCTTCCACACTGAAGAAAGACAGCATGAACAGATTCATCATGGAACGTAGGGGCGCAACGTCCACAGTAGAAAGGATGAAAATAAGAAATTAAAGATAATGAGGAGACTAGCTAATTTTGTGTGTTTGTTGTTATTGTGACTTGTTGCTTGCTTTTCCTGTCATGGGAAACGTGTCATTCAAAAACTCACATTGAGCTCCTTTGTGTTCACTTCCCAAGTTTCAGATAGCTGTGCATAGCTCCCAGCTCTACTCAGAACTGGATATGTGCTCCTTTAACGTGTACGTGTGAGTTGAATCTCTTTTCTAACAGTGTTGAATAAGCCACTTGTGGCTCAGGTTCTTCTAGAGCGCAGCTTCCAGTGGAGTAGGACAGAGACGCGAAAGGCAGAAATGGGATAAAATTCTGCGTGTCGTAAATGATAAGGAGAGAAAACAAGGTAAGATGAGAGAAAACGTGAGAGTGAACAAGCCACTTTTGGGTGGTTGGGAACGGGTTCTCTGTTCCAGATGGCATTTGAAGGGAGACCCGAGGGAATGCAAACAGCTGGATGATGGAGCCTTTCTGGCAAAGGAGAGGACCACTGCAAAGGATGTGTAGCAGGAATAAAATAAGTGCAGGGAGGCTAGAGAGAGGGCGTGGGGGTGGGGGGGCAAAGAAATAGCATTTGAAGGCTTAGAGAAACAAACAAAGATCTATTATCTAGATCAGAGATTCTATTTGTGTGTCAGAGATTCTATTTATGTGTGTGTGTGTTTACATTTTTTATTGTAATTTGAGTAAACAGTCACAGAGTGAACTGGTTTTCCATCCAACAATTCACACATACTCTGTTTTGTGATATTGATTGTAATCTCCACAACATCATAGCTCTCTTCCCACTTTACTGTCTTTATTATAATCTGTCCTCCTTTCCCAACTCTGCTGCTAAGGTTGATCCTTGAGTAAGTGCGGCCCTTGTGAGCTCATGGGGTGGGTGAGTCTCAGGACAGCAGACCTCACAAGTATTATTACCCTTGAAGGCCTTTCTCTATGTGGCTAAAAATTGAGCTGTACCTGGGTGGGATGAGTTCAGTTCCGGGCTTAAAGGGCAACTGAGGACCTTCGTTTTAAGGACAGGACTCTGCTGATGTGTATAAGACTAGTATTTTTTTTCTTTTCTTTTAGTTTGGTTTCACATTTTCCTCTATAGACATCCAGGATGTTCTAGGGTTATCCCCTTCAAACCTGGGGGTTGTAGTAGCCAGTCACCAGCTGGTATTTCTGGTAACAGTGTCGTGGAGGATGAAGTTCACATGGTCCATTAATTCTTTGAACTAATTGGCTTGTACTTTATTTTCTTTCCTTCCAATAGGTCGAGATTTATAGTTGTAGCTTAGCCCATGCTCACAAGGTTTTAAGGCCCCAGTCGCTAGTCAACAAAGTAGCATGTTGGTGTATTATGTTATCCCAGGAGATATGAATGTCCCTGCCTCAGAGGGCTATGATCTACCAAGTCCAGCAACTCAATTTCAATCAGGGATTCTTAACATCTTTGTGTCAAAGCTCCTTTGCGTTTAAAACCTATGGGTTATTTCCCAAAATCCTTATAAGTACACAAAATACATAGAATTAAAAAGCAAAGCTTTACTTTAAATTATAGTTCCATCCACATATCCCTTGTCATGCACTTTACCTGGTCAGAACCCTTTGGGTCGGGTAAAGAGCTTTCATATTGTTCAAAGTAGAACTAATAAACAAACAAACAAAACGCACTGCCATTGTGTCAGTACCGACTCATAGTGATCTGCAGCACAGAGTTGAACTGCCCTCGTGAGTTTCCCAGACTATAGCTCTTAACTGAAGTAGAAAGCCCTGTCTTTCTCCCATAAAGATGTTGGTGGTTTTGAATGACTGACCTTGCAATTAACAGCCCAATGTGTCACCACTAGAGCATTATATGATGTGCTATATCTTTTTAAAGGATTATTCTTGTTGGCGAATAGAAATAGAATTTACATGGGCAAAAATGGAAGCCGGAGGACATTTAAGAGGTGATGGAATTGGTGGTCTTAGCTTGAAGTTAGTGGTTGAGTTAGTTAATTGTGCCAGCCTGGCCGATAATCACATGTGGTGCTGGTTGAAAGGCAGAGGGATAAATGGGTGGTGAAGCCTCGCCTTTCTAGTTCTCGGGTCTCTTGTTTTGTGATGGTTGTATCGGGTGCAGCTGCCTTAGCAGTTTCCTGCTTCAGCTTGCATGATTGACTTCCTCCAAGACATCCCCAAGGAGAAGCCACATGGATCTATCCCGATGCAGCCCTGGGTGCTGGAGCAGCCATGTGGAGACCCTTGCCAGTGCTGAGATGCTTGCACGTTCACTGACTCAGCTTTCCCCCTGCAGTCGGCATCATTGCCTCTGTTTTGTGAGGTGGAGGGCTTTGTGGACTGGTGTTGGGTTAATGGGTTAATGTTGGACTTGTGGGCTTGGGCAGCATTGGGTTGGGATGTTTTCGTGATGCACCTTTTCTTTACATAAATCTCTTTCTTATACGTGAGTCGCCGTGGATTTGTTTCTCCAAAGTACCTAGACTAATACAGTGATTATGGAGAAGGTTATGAATGGCTATTTCTGAAAAAGTATCACATCAAATCTCCCCATAAAGGAATATACATCCCCTAAATATACAAGGAAGAGAGTCAAACAGGAAGAAGCAAATAAGGTTTTTTTCTCTTCCAACCTCCCAAACCTCTCTTGAATCCTCTGAAAGTTTTCTTAGTAATTCAAGTTTTCTGAATGTTGTGACTTGTTCAGCCCATAGAATGTTGTTCTAGCACATAAAATGTTTTTCAGCCCATAGAATATACAAGGAGATTTTATTATACTTACTTGAAGCAAATATATTTCCAGTAAACCTTAAAAGAAGTTGTTCTCCTTCTCTTAATTGGAAACGACGAGATGGCTCTGGAGGCCCATGGAACCCTCCCCTGTACAAGGTCTTAAGCTCCTCAGTTACATCTTTATAGGGTACCACTAAAATCACGGCTTTACGTGGGTTGTCTTTCTGGTAATTCAGTACTATGCAGACAGTAGTGCTGAGTATCGCTTCCTCTAAAGATTTCACAAAAGAAACCAAGTGGCCGTTGTCCACAGTGGAAGAGAGGTGAAGCACAATAAATCTGTATGGAAAAAAATATGTACAGACTCAACAACACTGTACCATCTAACAATACTCAAGAAAAGAGCCGTTATCACCCTAATGCCTTTCGGATTCAAGCATTCTGGTGATCAAATAGATAACTTTGCTAATGTCTTTAGGAAAATTCTCAGCAGTTACAAATCTTTCAAGTGGTGATAAACATATAAAACTATTCATTGCAGATTGATAAGGAAAACACAAGTCAGTCCATGCCCACCTTGCTTACTAGGTAATACAAGCTGCGTGTGATGGAAACCGTGGTCTCTGGCCATTGTCTGGTAAAGACTTCATGGTAAACCCCATTCTCTGGGATGGACTCCTCCTCCTCCAATTCTCCAAAGAAATGTTCTTGGCCTATGGGATCCCCTCTTAGCTGTGGCCACCATGCACTTAAAGCCACTCACTTAATGATTAGGGGTATAGAGTCAGCTCTTTCAGGAGTGCTATTCAACCTCCGAATTTCCTCTGAGGAATCAGAATGAAGGTGAACTATATTGTTGCCCAATTTCTACCCAGGTTTGATTTGCTTCCTTCATTCCCGAGAATTCACCTAAGGCATCCTTCACTAAATCACAGACACAAACATTCCCAGCCCAGAAACTGATTTGAGATAGTTTCCTATGTATATCTTACATTATAAAATAAAAATGCTTGCTTTAGATATGTTTGCTATATGAGTGTATATTTCTCACAAATCTTAAAACTCTTCTCAGAATGGGATGGCTGGAAAACATGGAAATGAGAAAGCAAATGAGGGTTCTGAAATAACCAATTGAGTTTTACATACATAGTTATGAGCTAAACATCAAATGAACTGTTAATTATTGCCTCTATGGACGTTCAGCTATGGAGGTGTTGTTTTAACACTATTTCTGAGTTGCAGAAGGTTTGTGTATATGAATCTAAGTTGTGAATGGCTACCAAAAGTACCTGTTAAACTTTCAGGAATTAAACTGGAGTTAACATATCCATGTCAACGGCATTTAAAACATATTCTAAAGGACTCTCATATTTCTATTTAAAGGATATAAATCTTGTCTTATTGTTCCAAATATTGAATATCAATTATGGACTGCCAAAATATAATATTATCACCTTTTATTGTTTACCATTACATTACCTTTCTAAATGTTGAAGCAATTCAAATGATACCAGGCCGCTCTGCACGGGTCTCACCGCAACATCATCAAGCCCAAACCAACCACCATCTTGGCTCCTGAATCCTAGTAATTTCAAAGATTCACAGGCATTGCTCCCAGGTTTTCTTATGGAAAGTTTTTTTGTCCTGCATTATGATAGTAGGAAAAAAGTTGGTGAACTGTATGTATAATAACTCATGTTGAATGCCTTCATTTTCTACTTGCTGACTAATCCTATGAAAATCACGCAAGTATTACATGCCAGTGGTTATGCCGTACACCATAAATAGATGAGAAATCCACAGTATTTACCCTACAGATACTCAGGGCATTACAGCATTTGCTTGACTACTAGCTGAAAAGCTGGCAGTTCAAAACTACCCAAAGGTACCGGGAAAGGCAGAGTTAACTCTCTGCTTTGAAAAAGTCTTAAAATCTTATAGAGAACTTCTACTCTGCACCCATGGTGTGACCATGAGTCATAATAAACCCAACATCAATGACAACAACATGTAATTGCAGAACAAATTTATCTGTGATATAATTAAATAAATTTACAGCAGTGTAGGAATAGAAGGAGGGTTTTTAATTGATCTTGAAAGGAAAAATACTGATATTCAAGATGGGCTTTAGAGAGTGTGAAGTAGTTTACTGTGGTAAAAGACAATCAAAGGAATACACCAATATTAACAAACTTGCTCATATAAACAAGCCTGGTCAAGACTGGTGTTATTGCATAATAGTTAAAACCACAGGTTCTGAAGCAAGACTACCCCGGTTCTGTTTGGGGATACTTCTATGAGACTAATGTTATATTGTCAGACTCTACATCATAAGAGTTAAGGGTTTCTAGGTTGTGAGGGAAGAGGGGCAAATGGGGAGCTAATAACCAGGAGTACAAGACAGAAGAAAATACTGAAAAATTGATTGTGGTAATGATTGCACAACTCCTTTTAATATGATTGAACTATTAAACTGTATGAAATGTGAACTATATGACAATAAAACAGGGTTTCTTTTAAGTTATGGAGTTAAATACTTGTGGAGTACTTACAACTTTCATTGACCTTTTAGAACCAGAATTCAAGTTTTCTACTTCTGAAAAGATCCAGTCTTACCCCTTCTGTCAATTGTCTTATTGGAAAATATTTGAATATTCCCTTCCAGGTTTTCCTCTTACACAGCTTCTGGCTTTTGCAAATCCTACTGTAGTTTATACAAATGGTATTAAGGAGCTTGGGAGGTATACGGTTTTAATCCAATCGACAGCTCCACCAAAGGACACATCTGCCTTCATAAAGACTGCCACAAATATGTCGTAGAGAGCAGTTCTGCTCTATCACACAGGGTCGCTATGAGTCTGGGACCAACTTCACAGCAGCTAACAAGAGAAACAACATTAAATTCTCATCTGATTTCTATAGCTGAATACCCGCCAAGTACTTTTATTTGTCCAGTCTCCTCTTTCCTTAGCCTACCCTATTTGAAGGTCTTAAAAGAGACAGTGTTAGACTGTATGACACTTCCCCTAGTTAGATCTAATTTGACTAATAGTGGATCAATTTCTAAAAGCCAACCAATTGTACTCTTTCTCTGTGGAATTTGAATTAATAGGCCAAGATAGTCTAGCATTATTATTTAGTTGGCTGTGTTGGGCTGAGCCATATGCAGCCAGATTAATAAGAAAGGGGAAAATGAAGCGATGGTAAGAGAGAAAAAGGAGAAAATCAAGTTACACCTTTGGGGAAAAGAAGCTTTCTTGTTTATACTAAACTTGACATTATAAAGATGTAGCCATATTGCTAACATGAGGCACAAGTATGTCAAAGAGCAGAAATGGCACATTAGAAAGCTAAAGGAAAGGTGGGAACTGGGCTTTTTCTGGTCTAAGAAAAACCTACAGACAGATATTTTTTGCTGTTTACAATTTAGATGGGTCCAAAGAATTCCTCTTTTGCTTAAATACTTGGGGCTTACTTTTTATCACCGCCATCCAGAGTCCCTAATAATTTGAAGCTCAACCTTAGACTAAAATTGATATGACAGTAGATACAATCTACATTCAAGTTAAATAATTTGCTGGAATCCCTCTTTGTCCTGTTTTAACAGCTTTGCAACTAAGCTTGTCTATTATATGTGTTCTTAGCAAACTTTGGCAATGAGCACTGTATGGCACTGGAGAGAAGTTGGTCAAACTCCACAAAAGATAACGCTTTGATATACTAATCATTGAATGAAATATAATAGACCTTTGCCCATCAATGGATTAATGAATAAACAAAATGTAGTATATTCATATGTTCATGCAATCTTAAAGAGAAATCAAACTCTCGGGGGCCTCAGAACCAAATGAATTCCTGATACGTACAACAACATAGATGACATTTGAAAAGATTATGTTGAGTGTGAATTAAGTCAATCGCAGAACAACAGATATTGTATGATCTCACTGTATGAAAGAACAAGAATAGGCAAAGCTTATGTGGGGTTATTAGATGGAGCAGACGGGAGAAGAGGGAGAACCATTGTTTAGGAAACAGATTCTATTTTTAATTATGGACATTTTGATATTGATTACTGGTTATGTTAGGTTCCAGATTAAGAGCAGACTGTAAAGAAGGAGTAGGCTGTTCACTTCAGATGAATTAGTCACTAACTGTCTTAATGGATAACAGTAGATGGCTGTAAGATGCTGAAACCCTTCTGAAGAGCAGCAGAACCTTGTCAGAGATGGTGCCGGAAGATGAGCCCCTCGGGTCAAAGGCACTAAAATATGACTGAGGAAGAGCTGCCACCTCAAAGTAGAATCGACCGCATGACATGGCTGGAGAAAAGCTTCCAAAGTAAAGCTTTTAAGACCTTAATTTGCTGATGGAGCAGGAGCGAAAATGAGAAGGAAAAAGGCTACAAAAATGTGTTCATAATTGAAAATTGAAATGTTCAAAATACAAATCTAGGAAAACTGAAATTTGTCAAAAATGAAATGGAACCCATAAAGATTGATATTGTGAACTGAAATGAATGAACTGAAAAGGACTGGTGTTAACTATTTTAAATTAAAAAATCATGTGGCTCACTTTTCTAGGAATATCTAAGATGAATGACATCCCATTCATCTCAAAATTGGACATTTTAATATCTATCTTGAACTGCAATGCTGTGGGTGACTAGATACTATATCTATATCGAAGGAAATCAAATCAATAAAAATCAATAAAACTATTATTTAGACTTATGAATTAACCACAACAGTAGAATATGACTCCTGGTGACTTATAGGATAGGGTAAAACTTCCCTGTGGGTTTCCAAGACTGTAACTCTTTACAGAATTAGAAAGCCTCATCTTTCTCGCCCAGAGATACTAGTGGTTTTGAACTGCTTTCATGGATTGAAGCCCAACATATAACCACTATGTCACCAGGGCTCCGACCACTAAAGCTAATGATGCAGAAATTGAACAATCATGTCAATATATTTAGTCTGAATTGATGGAATAGATAATAAAGATTTATGATAAGTATTGGCTATTAGAATGTAAATGTTGGAAACCAAGGGGAAGAAATATGGCCTTGATATAGATACAAAGCTGGAGAGCATGATAGAATTTTCCAAGACCAACAACTTATAAATAACAAACACCTTTTTTCAAAAACACAATTAGGGACTAAACATACACATGACTCCTCCAGACGGAACACACAGAAGTCAAATTGACCACATCTGTGGGAACAAAAAAATGGAGGTCAATATCAACAGCTAAAACCAGGACAGGGGCTTACTGTCTTACTGTGAAACAGATCACTAATTGCTCATCTGTAAGCTCAGCTGGAGGTTGAAGAAAATTGACCCAAGTCCACGAGAGGCAAAACACTACCTTCAGTGTACCCCACCTGAATTTTAAGAATATCACAAGAACAGATTTGGTGCATTGAATACTAGTTGAACATTAACAAAAAACCTGATTAACAGCGAGTTAACATCAAGGGCATAATTCATGAAGAAAGGAAAAGGTTATTAAAAAGACAAAAAAGGAAAGAAAGAAAGGAGCTAAGTGAGTGTCAGAAGTGATTCTGAAACTTGCTCTTAACCACAGAATAGCTAAGTCAAATGGGAGAAACGATGAAGTGAGAGAATTGAATAGAAAACTTTAAAGGGCAACTCGAGAATGAAAAGTGAAAGACTGTAAGAGCTTGCAAAGGCCTAGAGTTAGAGAACCACAAACGGAAGAACACACCCAGCAGATCTTAAACTGAAAGAACTCACAGAAAAGCTTCAAGACTCCAGATGTAATAGTGAAATATTCTATGGGCAAAATATTGAAGGATTCGGGAAGTATCAAAAGAAGACGGAAGGAATACGTAGAGACAGTGTAACAGAAAGAACTAGTCTGCAGTGCACCATTTCAGAAGCAGTGGTATTGAAGGAAGTTCAAGCACTTACAGTGTTAGTCAAAAACAAGGCTAGTGTAAAGATTTCAACATTTTCTTGTTTGTGCTTTGTTGTTACTGTTAGTTTCCATCAAGTAAGTTCTGACTCATCTCGACCCCATGTATGCAACATAGTATGGCTCTGTAGCATTTTAAAGACTGTAGAGCCCTGGTCGTGGTGAAGTGGTTATGAATTGGACTGTGATCTGCAAGATCAGCAGTTTGAAACCACTGGCCACCCCACAGGAGAAAGATGGGGCTCTCTACTGCCATAAACAGAGTCTCACAATCTCAATGGAGCAGTTCTACTCTGCTTACAGGGTGACGATGAGTCAGCATCAGATTGATGGCAGTGAGTTTGGAGTTTGGGGACATTTCAGAAGTAGATTTCCAGGCCCATATTCAGAGGGATTTCTGGGTGTATTTTGGCTAATAATCAATGCTTATCTAAGTGCGTTAACCAGAAACTTCCTAGGGTCATGATTTTGTGAAAGAATTCCAGTTAATTGGCCCAATACTAAGTTTAGTGTTCCCATTGTACTTCATGCTTCCTGGTGTAGTGCCTGGGATCTTGAAAACTTTTGAACATCAATTTAAGCTACAGCCATCATTCTTTATTGGTCTGGAACAAGAGAGGAAAAAGGAAAATCATGAATCAGAGGATGAAGTGTAGTGCATGTTGAATTGACTCTGTGATCAGGACACAAGAAGAACTGAA